GGGACAACGGAAATTCCCACAGAGTTAATAGTTTTCCCTGTAATAGAGCCCTCGTATACTTTACCGGACAAAGATGACCGTGAGGCACCAGTGTCCAAAAGGAAAACATACGGTTTACTGTCAATTTTCAATTCAAGAAAAGGCAAGACAGACGATTTATTCGGGTATGTAACAGAAATCATGGAATCTTCATCAAGAAAGGGCTCTGAACTCTGTGGGCATCCCTAACGGGGAGTCGACTTTGTGGGGTAATTTGGTCTTTCTGTTTGTTGCCTTTGTGGCAAAGCATTAGTATGTGGCCTGAAGCCAGCAGACCCACCTCTTTTCTGCTTTTTATCCCACTGCTTTTTCCTGCAAGCGTTCGCGAAGTGTCCCGCAATGCCACAATAATAAGAGACTTTCGACCCTGCTGCCTGATTTGAACGTGCTTTGACAACAGTATTAAGCTGCATCATTGCTGTAGGTTTCCCTCGGGAGGCCTCAAAAGCCCCCGCGGTGGAAAGCTCACGCAGTCTCCGAGACAAAGCGTCAACAGAAATATCTGTTATATTCGAAGTTGTCAAACGAACCAATTGTGCGATTTCTTTTTGCATGTTATTCAAAAACGTATTGACAAACAAAGGAGAATGTTGATCTAATGGAATGGCAGATTCTTCAGTCCAAGCATGCTTAAATCGATTGAAAAATGCAACAGCATTTTCGCCCGCTTTCTGTTTCGTGTTTGCAGCATGCGACAAATCTTGCTTGGCCGAAGACAATTTCACCAGAAAAGCAGTCAATTGTCTGAAAAATTCTTTTAGCTTTTCCACATCAGCCCAAATCCACGCATCATCTTCATCGTCCTCCGAATCAACTATTTGCAACGTTCGGAAAGATTTTGGTTGTGACAGATCTAATTATCTAATTATCACCTTTTGATAAAGCACTATGGCGAGATGGCAGCGCATCCCGTTTAGGACTCAAAGCATCAATCTCTGCAATCAACTCTTCCTCTGTAATTTCTGGCGGCAGTGTTTTAGTCAAAATGAAGCGATAATCACGCCCAGTCAATTGACTGTACGTGGTTAAACGCTTCAATACAGACACATATTGATGCGGACACCGTAAAGGATCTGGCAAATCTTTAGCAATCGCGACAGCATCAGACATTGCCAGCGGGGTTATTTTAAACCCGTCTGGAATCTGCACAAATGGGTATAAATCAGTTGCACTAGGTAATTGCGGGTACAGACGATTAGGAGTTAATTTTTCTTGTTCAGGCTTTGTAACAGTATCAAGCCAAGCTGGGAGAGTCAACATGGGACATTTGAAAAATAGATGAACCTGATCTGGCCCTTTATCCCAATAAGGTTTCATTTTTTCCCACACAATATATACCCTTTAACCAATGAGGATATAGATGACATACATATAGGATTTTGGCCAAGAATATGTGTTATATAAAATGTACAGGAAAATATGGACATATTAGGAATAAACTTGGCGAAGGATGCTGAACTATATCCATAGTTCAGCACGAACCCCATTACCTTGGAGTCCTAGCTATCGTGTCCTCGTCTGAACATTCAAACTCAAAAACGAATGCATACATGTGCGCATGCGTAACTCGAATATGAGTAAGAGATATTAAAATATAATACAAGAGAGAGAGATCAGATGGAGGAGGGGGGAATCAGAAGAAGACAACATTGCTCTGTACATGGAGGGCGAGCAGAGAGGGAGAGGGAAGAAAAGGAAGGTGAAAACATCTGGAACCAATACAGACAGAGAGTGTTTTCTAACAAACAGAAATAGAATAGAGAGTGCAAATGTTAGAGGGTCAAGTTTTGTAATAAGAAAAACAAGTAGATAAAATTAGAAGTAGCGTTAGAATTGTAAGGGAAAGCTTTTAAAGGGAATTTGGACAGAATCACTGTTTTACGGCTGATCACTGAGTCGGCCAGCGATTCATTGAACGAGCCACACAACATCAACTCTGCAATGGATATTTATTTCCAAACTATAGTGAAAGCACTATTAATTAGCACAGTAACAAGATCGGCAGTTTAAGACATTAACTCGTAAGCACAAAACACTTCTCTTTTCAATATAAATAAGGCTTTGTTGGATAAATCTAAGACATATAACTAATCTAACACATGAACACATGCATTCACACAAGTTGCAGAAAGAAAGAAAGTGAGGAAATTAGTTTAAGAGAATGAAAATGTGAAATCCCAAGTTTACAGCAATATGTGCAATTGCATAGACATGAACAACCATTAATCACTTAATTAACCCTCGCATTGAGTTCCTCAATGAGGTTAAAATTTATATTAAATGCACCAGTTCAGCTAGAATCTGGAGGTACTTGCTTGCCTGTGAAAGGGGTTCCCTTCCTTGTCTGGTTGCCGAAAGGGGTTTCCCAAGGTTACTGATTGGCTGGAAGTTCAGTCTTTGGAAGCCAGTGGTTGGGCGTTGGCTGACGACGCGGAGTTGTGGTCTGGTTAAAGTTTTAGACGGCACTCGAGATCGGACTCAGAGACGCGGCGTTAGGTAAAACTTAACTCAGAACACGAAACACTCAACGGAAAATAAAAGAAACTAAAGTAAAGAAATAGAAGTAAAGTTTGACGAGACTAGGTGGCGTTTCTCCTCATGGTTTTGGAGGAGCTGGTGTGTAAGCCAGAGCACGCTCAAAGAGCGAAAAAGTTGATTACTGAAAAGCACGGCTAGAAAAAGGCAAAAAGAGAGGAAAAGGGAAAGGGAGGATTTGATGGTGTCCTGAGCATTTAAACTGGGCTTTTGGACACATCCCAAATGGTGCTTTGACCAATTAGATATCACTGGTTTACATGTGATGGTCACGCTGTGCATCTCTTTTGACCATTAATCTTGATTACTTGCCCCCAAAATTGACAATCTCCTTGGAATTGTCAATAAGTGTTCTTTTGTTTAAATGCTGTGAGCTACTCAAAGCTGCTAGTTGGTTCAGGCTTGTGGCGCCAGGATCTGATTTACGAACATCCTGTGTCTTGGGCCTCTGTGGAATTCGGCTCCTCGTGTTTCAACTGTTCTTTATCAAATCTTAAATTTTCTGATTCGGCCTGATACCCTACAGAATAGAGAGTGCTAGGGTTAGAGGGTCAAATGAAGATGAAAGAGATGTGTTTTCAGCCGTTTCTTGAAAATATTAAGGACTCAGCTGCTTGGATTGAGTTGGGCAGGCCATTCCACCAGGAGGGAACAGTTAATGTAGAAGTCCATGAAAGTTTTATCATAGGTAGAATACAAAATGTTTCAATACAAGCATTTCTGTTAAATGTAATTTATGCAATATTTCAAACCTTTAATCCCCTTGGTAAAATCAACCTATGGCAACAGTTTAAAAGTAGCCCAATTCTGTGGAAAAAATGCGGACTTGGCAACCCTGCATCCAACAAGAGCTGCAGGAGTCAGCTTTGACTGAACTCAGGTCAAGAATAAGGAGAGATGACTGACAAGACCATGGTGGAGTATTTGCTGCTCAACAGGTCTTGAGCTCATTGACAAATATCTGATCTTGTAAGATGTGCTCGCTTTACACAGAGTGCGTGTGATCGCGAAATCGAAAGTGAAAGTAAACAGCGCAAACGCTCATTCAAAAACATTTAAATACTCTGCATACTGAGAGCAGCTCCCTGATGCGGCAAAATTATACACAATATTAAAATGTTTAAAGGAGTGGACACGAAAATTGCGGGAGAGAAACACATGTTGCGGGAGCAGGCAGCAATGGTCAGAGATTCAGCGGGAGTGGGATTAAGAAAACAATCCAAAACAATTTTGGGTAATTAAGAAATCCCGGCCGGACGCATTTTTGTTGGTCCAAAAAGAGGGCATGTCTGGGAAAAAGAGGACGTATGGTCACCCTAATTTATAATCTATTGCTAATCGATGTATTCTTTTTAAAGTAGCATATGGAACATATTTTCTGCCTCATTCTGTGACAAGAAGCCTCATCAGATCGCAAAAGGAATCATGTGACTGGTGTTGTGGAGTAAAAAGGTTATAATTTTCTCTTTTGTTGGACAACAGGTTTAGAAATGTGAATACAAGGGAGGTTTAGATTTAGGCATTTTAATTTAAGCATGTTTAGCTTAGTTAACAGAAAGCTACCTGCTGCCATCAGAGCAAGTGTAATTACTGCATTCACGTGCTCCTGGGATGCTCTCATTTCCTGAGTTGTGCTTTTAAGTCGGAATGTGAAAACAACATGGACACTCTCGTTACTACAAAGATGTGTTGGATTTGTATTATTAGAGCTTTCCGACTTGAGTTCACGTGCATTTTCTCACGGTGCGGTGCCAGTGATGATGCTTCTTACGTCCGTTTTGGAGAACCAGAGGACAAATATTTCAATCGATCGCTCAGGCAAATGAGGCACCGAAATTTGCATTCGGATTCGGTTCTAGTACATACCGGTTACATAAGTACCGGTGCCATATTGGTACCGGGTTTCGGCACCCAACCCTATGTGCGAGATGCAGGTGAAGGTGAGAGTAGGCCTATGTATTCACTAGGGGTTGAACGACTTCTGATTTTATGTGATTTTATGTGATGAAAGTCGAGTCGAAGTCGACTAGTTGCTGATGACGTTATTAATGAACAAATAAGTCTGGAGCTGTGACAAATATTTTGTGCACAGCTGTGGCATATGGCACAGCGCTGCCCACATGGCTATTGCTCCTATAACAGCTCATTTTTATCAGTTCTTTTGTCTTTGGGTCATTATATCTCTCAGAGATTTCTGCTCGTTCTAAATCAGATACAGATAAAGTAGCACAGTAAAGATTACATTCATGTGAATGCATTAGTGAGAGCGATTGCGTGTGTGAATTAATTCTACCTGGCAGCATCTCTCTACTAGTAGTGAAGCTGTGGGATTTAGTTATTAAGAAATATATGCTTGAACTTTTCAGTTTCTAATCTATTTTATTGAGAAATCACAGAACAGTGTTGACTATACATTTCCGCGCTGAATGATTCTGTGCGTGCGTGATGTGTGCGTGATGTACAAGCTACTGTCTGTAGCTCTATTGGCTCGTTTCCACTGAGCGGTACGGTTTGGTACAGTACAGTACGGTACGTAAATATTTCCATTTCCACTGTCAAAAGTTGTGAATGGTACCAAAATAGCGAACCGTACAGTACCACTTTTTTGGTACCCTTCTGTTGGGGTAACTAGCACAGCAAAGGGTACCAAAAGGGTGGAGCTAAACTCACCGCAGAATGTCGATTGGTTGACTAGAATTGACACTTTTGCGTGATACAAGGGGATAAAGCGTCCTTCACTCGTTCCGCTCTGCTGTCCATGAGTGTTGGGCTTATTTACATCAGAGTGAGCAAACACAAAAAATATATATAACCGGGTATTTTATCATTTTATATTTTCACACAGACAATAGCCGTTTCTCAATATGCGTTCTTGTGGACTTGTGAAACCTCATTGCCCAAAAACCCGCATAATTTTCTAAATATTACTGTTATTGTGTCATGAAATGTAGTTTTTAGAGTTTTTCAGGCGAAAATCTAATTGTTTTAAACTCAAATCTGCAGTTTATTTATAAAGATAGCGCCTATTTGAAAATTTGCTATGCCGATTTCGGCGCTCCAGGCGATCACCGGGACCTCAGTGCTCATGTATCCGCATAGAGCAGCCTTAGCTTGGCTAGTCCTTCCGACATTTGTCGCTGGCTCTGATGTCTCTGTAGTGATTAAGCATGAGATACAATTCTTTTTGGGATGGCTATATTTAACAGGCATTCGTGGTCTCATGAATCTATCATTTATTCCTGGTCATATCGTTTTGGCTGAGCACAAAGTTATGTTTAACTTTATATATTTAATTTGAACTTTACCGTAGTACAGCGCTGACTTTGTAGCATACGTCTGACTGAACTGTTTGCTTTTGTCTTTATTTCCTCTTATATAAGCCTCTTATACTTTGTACTTATACATATATAATGGCTATTATTGTTCATTAAAACTGACATTTAACAAAAAGAGGCAGAGTTGTGCTTATTGTCGCGGTTCATCATCGATCGCTACTTTCTGGCATACACCACGCCTACCAAGTAAGGGTACTATTGGCAGTGGAAACGCAAGCCTGATCAGGGTTACCCGTACCAAATCGTACTGTGCTAAACTGTACTGTACCGTACCGCTCAGTGGAAACGAGCCATAAGTGGGTGCATTACAGTGTGCAGCAGCGCATTCGATTAGAACGGCGATTCACTTACCTGTACAATAAGCTGTTTAAAACGTGCATTCTCCTGTTCAATTTCGAGCATCCAGTAATATAATCACACATGTATTGTGGAGCGCTTTCAAAGTATGCATTTATTTTAACTGTTTGGAAACAGAGCGTAAATGTGGAAGTCCTTCAAAGATTTCTTATCCTGTTGCGCCCTCTATAGGACTAGTCGATGTTAAGCTTAAAGTGTCATGGCAGAGCATTGAAGTCGACTAGTCGATTAGTCGGTGCAACCTCTAGTATTCACAGTCCAAAAAGAATGTTATAAACAATTGTTAGCATTTATTTTCCACAGTACCTTAGTATATGCATAGGCCTACTTGATGAGAAAACAGAATGCCAATAACAAATAAATTATATTTTAACACTATCAACCACAATTAATATTACCATATAGGCATAATAAAAGTACAATTACTATACACTATACTGTGCACTTACTGAGGATGATTTTCCAGCTAACTCAAAACTGAACGACACTCGCGTGCCTTTCTTGTGCAATATGCCAGTGATGCAGCCACAGTCCTAAACGAAAATTGAAAAAGTTGTTGTAGCAGTTACCAAAAGATGCATAGCTGATAATAAATTGCATTACTGATAAGAAAGGACGCGCGTGTATGTCGTCGATGGGTCACTTATCAGTGATATTTACAGCTTACTTGATACATTTACACCTCAGACTATCGCGAACACCAATGACCAGGTATAATACATTAAAAACATTTACACCAGAGCAGATATTCACGAACAGAAGCTTAGTTATATTCACAAACACAAGCATGCTTAGTAGGCCTATTATACAATACAAAAACATTTTATATATGGGAAACTATAGTTATAAACATCTACATATATTCGCGAACAGAGTGTATCCCAGTAAAGTTTTGTCTAATCATTCTTACGCAACTAAACACTCAACTAAATGTTACTAGCCTAACTTAACATTAGGCTAGTAACATTATAACTCATATTGCTTTTATATCGTATTGCTGTCTATTTTATAGAACATTAACAAAAAACATCCTGGCATCTTGAGACATTTAGATGCAGCGAATGAATCTTCATAATGTTTCACTTGATTATACATTTAGTCAGGAATTATAGTTTGGAAAAAGTCTAACTAGTAAAATGTGTGCAAGTTATGTGACAACTAATGCAAGTAGGTTAGTAAAAAAAAGACTTACTCCTGTAAATGATATCCCCCGCTGGACCAAGCCGCCGCGTTCTTCTTTTTCTGAGGTAATCCAAAGCTTATTCCTCTCAGCGAGTCTTTTTCTGAGGTAAATTCTCTCATTCCTCTTAGCGCGTCTTGAGGTAAATTCTGTTATTCCTCTCAGCGCGTCTTCTTCCAGAAATGAAGTAGCCGAGATGAACTTGAGGAAAAGTATCTCTGCTTTGTTTGCTGTGATGTGGGCATTTACCAGGGCTGGGAAGGTTACTTTAAAAATGTATTTCACTACAGATTACAAAATACATGCTTTAAAAAGTTATTAGTAATGTATTTCGTTAGATTAATCAGGTTTAGTAACTTAATCTAAATACTTTAGAATACTTAAGATACTTAATACTTAAGCTATACACAAAGGAACATATTAATGTCTTGTTTTTTATGTTCCCAACTCTAAATAAAAGTGACATCTACCAGTCATAAGATTTGCATTTTCCCTGTATTTTATTTTTAACAACATCAGTTTTCCACAGCATTTCTATGAACAACAAAAAAATTGTTGTGTCATTTAAATCTACCAATCAATATAAATTCAATTTGAATACAATGAATGGGATTCCGTGCTGTTTCATGCTGCATTCCAAGCTTCAAAATGAATCCAAACACACCAAACATATCATAAAAGCAGCCAAAACAACTGGCACAATTTTCCAAGTTATACAATAGATTTGTTTAATGAATGGACCAAACTTTAAGTGATTACTTCACTGATAATCCTCTCTATGGAGAAGTGATCGGCACAAAATAATCACTGAGTCAAAATTGACAGGGCTCGTTTCCTAAAGCAACTACGGTCGCAACTAATTTAATGTCGTTATAGTTCAATGTAATTTAACAAACATAGTTTGCTAACGATGCTTTTGGGAAACACACCCCAGATCTATCCAGTTTAATGTGAACCATTCACACTGGTTTCATTAAACAAAAGCAATGATTCATTTGAAAGATTGAATCAAAAGAATCATCTGTTCACAAATCGGATCATGAACTCGCATTACCGCGCCAAAGATGATCTATTCCTGAACATTTTGAATGAATAAAGACTTCAAGTTAATCTGTAAAGCACACAAAGCTATCGTTTGACTTTATAAACTTTTATTTCATGATTCGTATGGATCTGTTAACTGAATGCAAAGTGTGAATTCTAGGAGAATTCGTTGTCATTTTTCAATTAAATTCTTAGAAATATTAAACGTAATGATAACCAATCAACACTCAAAATATGAGAAAATAGAAAAACGAGTTACTGGATAACATTTTTCAAAGATCAAGAACAACTTCCCTCAAGATGCTTTTTCAGATAGACGTTGAATCCTTCGATGCTGATAGAAGTTTTGTTGCAGGTAG